CACTTACACTGCTTTAATAAAATGCTGATTAGCCAGTAGCCAGGAGGGAAGTACGGGTGAGGGCTAACAGACTAGGAGACTTCTGGGAAGAGGAAGGCAGAGACAGAGTTGCCAACCAGAAGCAGAGGAAGCAAGACGAGATGCCTTACTGAGAAAAGGTACCAAGCCACGTGGCTAAACATAGATAAGAATTATGGGTGAATTTAAGTTGTAAGAGTTTGTTAGTAATAAGCCTGAGCAATAGACCAAGCAGTTTATAATTAAGAGAAGCTTCTGTGTGTTTATTTGGTATTGAACAGCTGCAGGATGGGGCAGGACAGAAACTTCCGTCTACACAGCACAGTGGAGCTGACTCTGTCGACAAGGCCACAGGTGAGCCAACCCCAAGAATGTGAGTGCGGGGGACCTAGCTCCACCCATCTGCCAGACACTGGCATAAGCAGGGGTGGGGTGGAGGGAGATGCCATCCCCATAAGTACCCATAAGCATCTGAGGTCTTAATAGTCAACCAGACGCAACAGTCAGTAGAACAAGCCCTACTCCTTGCCTGGGCAGCACAGGAGCGTCAACCCTGTTGGCAGAGATGTGGGTGAGCCAGCAGCTCTAAGGATGTGAGCATAGGAGAGCTGTCCCCACTACTCATGTGTCATGGGCACTGTGGGTGGGGAACAGATGCACCCCCTTACTGCCTGCGACAGACTAGCAGGCTGACCGTCCCAGCTACCAGCTATGGCACTTGGGAAAGTGGGTGCCGCGCCTTGCCTGGGCAGCACAGTAGAACTGACCCTGTTGTTAGAGGTGCAGGAGATCTGACCCCGAGGACGTGAAAGCGGGAGAACTGGCCCCACCCTTTACTAATCAATGTAAGGGGTGGGTGAGCCAGAGCAATGCCGGAGAGCTCACCCTGGTGGTGAGGACAGGGGCCAGCTGGCAAGCTGACCAGTCCTGCACTACCCAGGCCCAGAACCAGGGTTATGTGCTGGCCCACCCCAGTATCCACCCCATCTGGGATCTGCTGAAGCATGGGGGTGGGGAGTTGGGGTGAGGCCGATCCTGTGGACCCAGGGTTACAGTACCTCCATAACAGGATGTCCAGGAAGAGTCCCAGTGAGGGCCCAGAGATGGTGGTGTAGCTGCGACCAGGGGCCTCGAACCAGAACCAATGATTTTTTGCAATGAATGTCTGCAAGTAAAGATGTATGGGTGAAGGGGTTCACTGTGTAACTCGCTGAGTCACACCGCAGCATCCATGAGTTTTTCCTTTCGCCCCTCGCTTCCTTTTCTCTTAAATTGTATTTCATTCTGTTCTGTTGGGGGGAGGCAGGTGGGTGGACCTGGCATGCATGATGTGAAAGACATGAAGGAAAAATAAAAAGTTAGAAAGGTAAGTTATTCCCCCATAGAGCAGCTATTGAAGCAGTAAACACAGGGAGGCACAGGTTAAAGGTCAAGAGGCTTTACAGCAGAGCCCTTGTCAACCCCGCTCATGAGAATAAGACCTCTACCACACAGATTGAGCCAGATTTGAAGCAAGGATTCCCGGAGAATGGGCCCGAATTACATTAGTCAGGGGTTTGTAAAGGCAAAACCCACAAGGCTACATACTTCCTGCCTTTATCCAATGGGCAAGCAGACATGCCGATGAACTTCCTGCCTGCATTCCTCCCACCTATGTGTAACCAACCTTGCTTACAGAAGTGAAAACATGTGCCTTGTTCTCTTGTGTGAACAACAGCCCCCAGCATTCCAGGAAGTTACCTGTCCTTAGGCAAGTGGGGCTTACAGTAATTAAACACAGTAATTTAAACTTAAAACATAACTTTAGTCCTTGAATCCTAAAGCAATAAATAAATAAATAAATACATGTATAGTTCTCAAGTCGGCAGAGGAGCTGTGTGGATCCCTAAAGAGAGCATTGCACAAAACGTGCTATTAGCATCACAGACACTGGAGAGTATGGCAGAATGAGGTCTGGAAGGATTTGCACCGAGCCCTACAAAACTACCATACTGAACAAACAAGTTGTCCCTGGCCAAAGCCCGCAGCCACAGAAGTACTCCACAGTGTTCTAGAGTGATCTGTGGACCACCCTAACACCCAAGTGCACACCCCAGCTGAAGATTTAGGATGCTGGCAAGGCATGTGATACTCGAAGTTGTGTGTGGAACCACATACAGCAGAGCATGCCCCAAAGAAGGGTGCTATGCAAATGAGCCCAGAGTTCGTGTAACACGGAAGTCCTGACTTTCTATACATCAGGGCCGTTGGGTATCTCCTCTCTCAGCAGAGCTTCAGCAAGGATCACAGACACCCACATGCCTGAAGGCAGGAGTAAAACGCTGATGAGGCCAAGAGAAAATGTGTGCCAAGACAGAAGGGACTCTCCCACGTGAGCAACTGCCACAAAGCCTACCTACAGTCCCTTTACAAGACCTGTGCTGGAGGCGTAGACAGACCGGCGGCAAGCAGAACGACCAGGGAGCTGAAGGACCAGAACAGTAAACTGCAGAAGCACGGAGCACCAGAAATCTGACTGGTCATTTTAATGATGGGCAAAGAAGATGTTAAGGAAAACGAGAAAACCAGAGATGCAGAGAGATAATGCACAATGCTAAAGAAACCAGGTTTAAAGGAGCATTACTTTGACAGTTCTAAATATCTGTGCCTGCTAGCAACACAGACATAAAACTTCACAAAATTGTAAGATGGAGATTTTAATAGTTTTCTTCCAGTCACATATAGGATAGGAAGTATAAAAGACCCGTGAGCATGGCAGATCTTTCCATCTTCTGACATCTTTTTCAATTTTTTTCTTCAAAGACTTGGGTTTTTGTTGTACAAGTCTTTCACTTGTTTAGTTAGAGTTACTCCAATATATATTATATTATTTGTGGCTATTGTGAAGGGAGTGGTTTCCCTGATTTCTTTCTCAGGCTGTTTATCACTTGTATATAGGGGTGCTACAGATTTTTCTTTGTTGTTGTTGTTATTCTTGAATGCAGCCACTTAACTGAAGGTGTTTATCAGCTGGTAGAGTTCCTTGGTAGAACTTTTGGGGTAACTTATTATTTGCAAGTAATGATACTTTGAGTTCTTCCTTTCCAATTTGTATCATGTGATCTCCTTAGATTGTCTTATTGCTCCGGCTATCCAGCTAGAACTTCAATTACTACATAGAATAGACATGAAGAGAGTAGATAGCCTTATCTTGTTCCTGATTTTAGTGGAATGGCTTTGAGTTTCCCTCTATTTAAGCTGATGCTGGCGATAGACTTGCTGTAAATTGTCTTTATTACGTTTAGGTATGTCCTTTGTATCTCTAATCTCTCCGAGACTTTTATCACGAAAGGGTGTTACCCTGGTGGCCTTCTCCGAGTTTATCTTCCCTGTCTAAAACCCACATGGGTCTTCTTTTGTGTCAGCCCAAGTAGTAACACAGGTAAACTAACTTTGGCTCAAGGTGGCATCCGTAAGTTGAGTCCTTACGCAGTTAACTGCCACCTGGTTTACTAGGTAACCAGAAAGAAGCCTTAGTTTATTTAATTATATTTTTACTTCAGTCAACCACAGCATCACCCCAATGCTGATCTGTGACCAAGATACTAGCTGTGAATCACCTGCTTGCTCATGCTGCCTGGATTCTCTGAGTCTTTCCACGCCATGACTTTGCACAAGGGTTTTGTTAAATGTATTTAAAGCACTGCTCTGAAAAATGGAAATCCAAATTCTATTTTTTCAACCTGCTTGATTCTAAAGTTTTTCTGTGTATTATACACGCTAGCGACCCTCTTTATGTTTCATGTATTTCTTCAGTATCTCAGCATAGAATACTTTTTAAGTTCTTCATCTGCTGTAATGACTCTTATCTTTTCCTTTGTAAAGAGCAACTACAGCAACCTCTCTAAATACAGTAAAAAAATGTCCTCTCTGGCAGATGGGGTGCTTTCTCTTTCTCTGACTAAATGGAAGAGATTCCTGTAGTTTCTTTCTGCGCAGAGTAACAGTCAATGCCTTAAGAATAAAGTTACTGGACTAACTAACAATCACCATACTTGATAAAAACCTAATTTCGGATAAATAATACAGACAGTCACAGACCTGTGATGGTTCACCTTCAGGTGGTGCCCAAGTGACACGCCTTTACTAGGAACTGGATTCCAGTATGAGGTAGACTGGAATATTAACTACATGTTAGTTATTTTTCAATTAATGTTGAGTTTATGGGATACAGTTCTACCCCAAGTCAAGAGCATCTGCATTTATTTTAGACTACTGATGTACAGTAAAGAATCCACAACTAACCAATGGGCCAAGCTCCTGGAGTACAATCAAAGTGAGGGAGGAGCGAACATAAGAATAAAGGAGTCAGGACCATGATGGGGAAACCCACAGAATCAGCTGACCCCAGCTAGTGAGAGATCATTGACTCAGGTCTGACAAATGGGGAACCTGCATAAGACTGAACTAGACTCTCTTAATATAGGTGATAATGGTGTGACTGGGACAATATATGAGGCCACTGGCAGTGGGTCCAAGATCTAACACTAATGCACAGACTGACTTAGTGGAGCCCATTCTATATGGAGAGATACCTTGCTCAGCTTAGACACAGGGGTGAGGGGGTGGAGAGGTGCCTTGGTCCTGCCTCAACCAGATGACAGGACAGAAGACTTCCTAGGGGGAGGCCTTACCCTCTCTGAGGAGCAGATGGGAGGTGGGGCGGGGGAGTGGGGGGAGCGGGAGGAGACGAGGGAGGGGGAACTGGGATTGGAATGTAAAAAATAAATTAATAATTAAAAAAAGAGTATTCAGTTTTGACCTGAAATTTCATCTTAACTACCCTTCCTTGGAAGATTAACCATGCTCTTCAAAGGGGCTGGTCGGGCCAGCAAAGCAGATGATATTAAATAAGGAAGCCCAGGAAGCATCTTCCAAGGCAACTCTCTTCCCCACGCAGCAGCATCCTTTGAAAAAGACAACAGATCAGTAGGGAGACAGGCCACTGTGAAGGAAGGCAGTCTTTTTATTGAAACATCTTACATGAACACACACACAAATACAGTCCTGCCAAGGAACAAATACAAAAACTGACACAAACCACCCTTCTAGGAACGAGGAAGACCATACATGTGACCATGCCCTGTGCCAGCGGGAAGCAGGGCCCCAAACCTAGCCACAGGTAAGTTCCAGACCGAGCTTTGTTATTTGAGCACATGGGCCATATTTGGAGCTCCGCACAGTAGTGTGGTTCCTGCTGCACACCTCGTGAAATAGTTTCAACGTAATCAAAACCAAACATTCCCCATCAAGCTCGCTCTGCAGAAAGTAAACAATTCTAGACTGTAGAAATAAGTTGGCCTCCACCCCACACAGCAGATCATGTGTAAAAATACTTCGCGCATCAGTGAGGTCCATGGTATAAATGTTTTTACAATGCGATGTGTGTAAACATCATTTTAAAATGTCTACAAAGTATAAGTGTAGAATTTCCATTTTCTTAGCAAAGTATCTAGAAATTTAATTGTTTTCAACAGTTTTTTTGTGGGAAGCATGCATATATATTGTTACTGATATACACATAGGCTTTGAAACATTATTGTTTTATTTTTTGCTTTGAAACATTGTTTTTAGAAACTATTCTTATTTGTGTAATACTTCCCACTGACGAGCTGCACAATCCAAACAACTTCCTTAAAGAAACAAGGCAAGGAAGCTGAACAAAACTGATTCAGTTATTCATGGTTTTATGGCAAAATATCTACCTCACGTACATCGGTCAATTACTTTTAGACATTAAGAGTGGTAAACATCCCAATTCAGAATTATGAAAACACAGAGTCTTTTTGATATTTAAATGATTGTAGTAAAGGGCTGGTTTGTGGAACTCAGCTTGACCCACACACACTGGCTGGGCTCCTATGTGAGGCATTGAGGATGAATGGCAAGTGGGAACTGTGGCTGGTCACTTAACGTCACCGAATTGTAAGTGCAGTGCCTCCGGAGTCCACTAGAGGGCATCAGACCCCCTGAGTTGGAATTAGAGGTGGCTGTGAACCAGAAACTAAATTATAGTTCTCTGCAACAGCAGTAACGTGCTCTTTACCACTGAGCCTTCTGTCCAGCCCCTAAGTGCACTAAGTTGTAGCCAAGAAACAAACATATGCTTTTTTTTTTATTATCACATTACAGAAAAACTAAGTATGAATTTTATCCTGGGTTATTATTATTGCTATTTTGAGACGGGGTCTCTTTATGTAGCTCTGGCTGTCCTGGGACTCTTTATATAGAACAGTCTGGCCTCAGACTCACAGAGATCTCCTGCCTCGTAAGTGCTGGTACTAAAGCCGCGTGCCACCACACTTGGCTATCCTGGATTACTTTAACTGAATTTCATGACCGCTGAGAAAGAGGAGAACCATAGAGTCATTTTTAAGCTCACAGGACATGTACGGACACATGGCTTGTGCAGAGAAATGCACGGTATGTATTCTTACCAGGTCAGTGTTAAACTTTCAACAATTTGCACAACTAAAAGGGTACAAGGTGTTTTCATTTCCTTCCTTCTGGACTCAGAAGTGGAGGTCCAGAGTGGAGATGTTCCTCTGGGCAGATGAGCTATTTGGTACCTATAACCTGCAAGGTTCTGTAATGGATGGGATGGAACTGTCCCTGCTGGGTGTCAACTGTGCAGAATCCCATCCTCTGGACCGGAACGAGAAACCAGGCTTTGACTTGGTAAGTTCCTGAAAGCCAATTTATCCTGTCTAGTCTGTGAGTATTGCTTGCACAGTGTGCTAAAAGGCATTTAGGAAACAGCATCTTCATCCCGTCCCACCGAATATCAGAGCATTCCCGAAACCCAGCCCTGCCAGAGGCACTGTGGCCCTCGGGGCATCAGTGACCTCCGTGTGTAAGTCTTTGTATGGCTCACATAAGGTTAGGGGCGTGGAAACACACATCCAGCGAAGCCAGTTAAGCTCTGGGCCAGACTGCAGCCAGCTTCCATTTAGGAGTAAGAATGTTGCACAGTGCTATGCTTAGTGACCCTGGTGGAAGATGTGGTTACAGTAGAACTGGGATGACCAGATTCCTCTAACTCTAAATTGGGCAGAGGGCCCAGACCTCCTACACTAGAAACCGTAGTCTTCCTAGCCTTCATAGAGGTCTCACTGGGGGGGTGGTGACCGGACGGCAGAGAGGAAGCAGGGGCCAGTACCCTTTCGGTCACCGTGACACTCTGTCCCGCTGCCACACTGGGCATTACCAGGGTGGGCTGTGCACCTGAGCTGGGAGCAAGGATGCTCTCTCTCTCCCTCACCATAACATACTGCGAATCTTTCAGATGCTGGCTGACCTCGAGTGGCTTAGGGATACCCCCGTTAGGCTGGACCACTCGTTCAGTGACAATGACATTTTCTTCATTGCCATAGTGCTGATCCACCAAGGTGGATGCTGGCGCGTACACCCTCTCTGTCACAATAAGGCTCTGCGGCTGTCTAGGACCCAGGGTCACAGTGCTGGGTGGTACAGCGGAGCCTGCGGAATAGGAAGTTTCTGTCACTATAATATTACCAGAAGCCACGGGAGCAGGGTGTGGCGGTACTACCTTTTGACTCTGTCTGGAGGACACAGAGCTTTCAGTGACGATTTCCTGTGTGACTTTCTCCGAGTGTGCTTTTGGGAGTTGGAAGCCACTGTCAGAGGCGTATGTGCTCTCTGAGTTGACCATTGTTTGCCCATAATGTGAGCCCGAAGCTAGGTTCACACTGGCTTCTCGGACAGGCTTCTGCTTCTGCTCAACGTCCACATCCAAACTGATCTTTCGACCGAGGCAAACTTCGGCTAGGGTCTTGAATTTAAGGCCCAGGTCATCTAAGAACAGATCATCAAGTTCTCCCTCGATAAAGCTGCAGCAGCCAATGGAGCCTCGGAGAGAGTCTGTGTCTTCCTGGGAGTAGACGAGAAGGCAGTCTTTGGCCGTGTGAATGTCGTCTTCCTCAGCATAGGAGGCCGCTTTCTAACATGGAAATAACAAAGGAGCGGGCTCATTAGTGACACAAATGCATTTAGAAGCAAGGCTTGGCATTTCTGTTTATGATGCAAACACCTGGGAAAAGTTGAGTCTTGTCACAAGACAGCATAAGAGAAACACAATGAGACACCCTACATCAAAGCTGGCCTGTCTTCTCACAAGACATGAATATCAGGAAAGATGAAAAAACGGCGGGGAGCACAATGTCAAAGTGAACAGCGTCGCGGTAACTAAGTTAGACGCCACATAGAGAAGTTAGTTGCTTTGGAAGACAATCGTCATTATCGTGGAATTTATCAGTGAGCAAACTGAAATGTAAACTGTATCCATTTTAAGTGTCCTAGTTCCCTAGCTGTACTGTGGGGACAGAGAGAAGCGCATGCGTTTGTAGGTGTGCACCGGTGTTTATGTGAGTGTGAGACAGACTGGAAAAATGGAAACTAATGGCAAATGTACCTGGCTAAGATCCACGTACACAATGGATAGGCTTGAAAATGTCTACTCTCTTTGAGACGGGGTTTTATGATCCCAGGCTGGCCTCAAACTCAATGTGCAGCTCGGGATAACCTTGAACTCTGGGGTTCTCCCGCCTCTCGTTCTATCTGCTACGGTCAGAGATGTGTGTCTCCACATCCAGTCGTGGACTCTTCTGACAATAAATTCTAGTTCCCTTTCTTCTTTTGGGGGAAGTCTGGAGTTTGAAGCCAGAGCTTTAAGCTCTTCCATTGAGTGAAATTCCTAACCCCTAAATGCCACCAGACCTATTTAAACTTTTGTGACACCCAGAATTCCACGGTGCCAGTTAGATCGAGTCACCTGACAATGCTGCTGGTGTTTCTTGTATCCTTGCCAATTTTCTCCCTGCTCTGATAGAACAGGCTGCACACCCCCAACTGTAATTGTGAGTTTGTCTATTTCTCCAGCAGTTTGGGCTTCAAGACTTTAGATTCCTGTTGTAAGGTAGTGACATACTTAGGAGCATCAGGCTTCTACATGAATTGACTAGTTTCCATCTTGAAATAAGTAGTTTTGGTTCTAGTAATGAATTGTATTCTGGGATGAATTTTGTCTAGGTGGAGCATTTATTTCCAGTCCTGTTTTGGTTGTTAATGCCTGGCCATGAAAACTGACCATCTTTTGTGTAATCGCTTTCATTGTTTCTTCGTGAATTCCCTGCAGAATGACAAGTTTTATCATACAAATAGCAAAACTGTGGAGCTAATGACACGGCTCAGGGCTTGAGAGCACTTGCTGCTCTTCCAGAGGACCCAGGTTTGATTCCCACCACCCACAAGACAGCTCACAACCATATTGTCCTCCAGTCCCAGGAATCTGACACCCTTTTCTGGCCTCAGTCAGACACTGCCCTCGTGTGGTGCATAGACGGATATGCAGGCAAAACATTCACATACATAAAATCAAGAAATAAAGTTAAAACAAACAAAAACCAGCCAACCAAACAAGAATGTCAGTGATTCTAATGCCTGAGTGTTTTAGGCTGTGTTCTCTGTCTTCCTTCCTGTGTCATCCCTCCCCCCATGCCTGCTTCTGTAAAGGGACTGTATTTTCTGACCCAGGGTCACTTTACACTTGCTTTGATGAAAGAAATGTAAGTGTGAAAAGGGAGAGAGTCTGAAAGAGCCCATGCTGATCCATCTTCACTATGGACTGGACCTAGAATCACCTCCAGGTGACTGACAGCCCACCTCTAGGTGTGTCTGCGGGGCAGTTTTCCAAGAGGTTTGAATGAGGACGGAAGACTCACCCACCCTAAATGTGGGTGGTGCCATCCATGGGCTGCATCCCAAACCAAATAAAGAGGAAAAAAGAAAAAAGCGAGCTGAGTACCAGCGTGCTTCTCTCTGCTTCCTGACTGCGGACATAATTTGACTAGTTATCTCGTGAGTCCATTGCTATGCCTCCCCCATGATGGTCTGTAACTAACTTCTCAAACCACGAATTCAGCTAAACTCGCTGCCCTCAGGCTTTGTTTATCAGCTGTGGTGTCTCAGTGATGAGATAAGTAGCTACCGGAGCCAATGTCTGCTTCCACAGCCAAAGTCTGCTTCCACCACTGGGGTTTCCCTGCTCCACAGGAGGGCAGCTTCCCTGGCTCAATCTGTTCTCTTGGTGTGCGTCTTAGAATGAGGGTGACACATTCTAAGCACAGCAGAACAGGAACAAGCTGACAGGCAAAGCCACGAAGAAGAAGGTCGTGGCAAGAACTAGGCAGATTGTGGGGCTACTTGTTACCACTCCGTACCGTGGCTAACACTGTTTCAGTATGTCCCATCTCTCTTTCCCGTTGCCTATAAAAAAAACCCATAAAGCTTCCCCACCAATTATATCTCTCAGAGAAGTCCACTTAGCAATGTAGAACGTCACATTTTGATGTAAACAGTTCCCTCTCCATCCATAAACACCAGTGCTTACCTCCATGAAGTAACTTCTTAAGAATTCCTCATTCATTGCAACAGCAGCTCCTCGAGCCCCACCCGCGTCTCTGGAAGCCCCCGTGGCTCTTGCTCTCCTTAGTGTTTCATTGGCTGCGATGGCTCCTGCTGTCCCTACGAGGTGCGTGGTCTCGGTAGTAAGGAGGCTTCTGTGCTCTTCCCATCTCCCGTCGACGTCGGACAGCTCGTGCTGTCCTTTGGTAAAGGAAGCCGAGCTGCTGCCTTTCGCCATGCTTTCCTTGAGCACAGCACCTCCTACCCCGTTTCTCGCTGCCGAATTTCCGGCATGATCCGTCACCAGGAGCGATGGCACCACCTACGGATAAACACAGCTCAGAGATGAATCCGAAGGACAGAGGTGTAGGGAGAGATCTTAGGTACCTGTGCCGATGACCATGCCCGCTTTGGGCGTGGCTACAGGTGCATAGGGACGGACTTGGGGAATAAAGGGCTGTGCAGCGGAGACGCTCGCTCTCTTTTCCGGGTTCAGGTCGGCTCTCGGGAGCTGCCGAGACCAACCTGGATTCTCCGGTTTCTCTGGTAAGTACCTTCCCACAATAAATAGTCACCCGTACCCTCCATCAAGTGTGCGATTTATATTTCAGTGACACAAAGGGTTGTCAGTGTACTTGGCAGAAAGACATGAGCTGAGTGGACATAAGGAGGGATAGGCATATTAGAAAACACTTAGGGAGGGACACATCCTCTGGAGTCTTGTGAAGGGTTTCTTTTTCCTGCTTCAGAGCTGACTACAACCCATGGGGGACACAAAGCCCAGATTGCCTTATGTGGTCTTGGTTCACTCTCTTTACCAGAACCAACAACATCCACTTCCCCTTTGGGGTCTTCTGTGACAGCTACAAAACTCTGAAATTTCAGCTGGACACATGGCCATTCAAAATAAAGACTCTGTTTCCAGCCTTGCGTTGCTGTCAGGTAAGAGTCTCTTGCCTTCTGATTAAAGAGAACCAGGAGGGCATGGTACATGCAACTGATAAAAAAGTGCCTACAGACCACTCTTTGTGATGTCTCAGCGGCTTGCTCCAGAGTGAGGACAGGAGCTAGTGTCTGCAATGGAACCCATCTGGGGAGCACCAGGAAGGGGTGCTGGGCGGGGGTATGTGTTGAAGGATCTCCGTGTTGACTGATCCAGGACTGTTACATTTCCTCACTTATTTTTCTTTGTTTAGGCAAAAATCTCACTGTGTAGTCTAGACTGGTCTTGAACTTGTGACCACTTCCATTACTCTCCCAAGTACTGGGATTATAGGGCTGTGTTGCAAACTTGAATACGAAATGTGTTTGATCACTTGGTCCTCAGCTGGTGGGATGCTTTGGAACACTGTGGAACCATTAGGAGGTGAAGCTTCACTAAAGGGAGTGGGTCACCGGGCGTGGAGCACTTCCTGTCTGCTCTCTGCTTCCTGACCACAGATGCAGTGTGACCAGCCTCTTCACACTTCCGCTACCAAGCCTTCCTTGCCATGCTGGACTCTGTCTCTCAAACTGTAAGCCAAGTAAGCCTTTTACTTCCTTAATTCGCTTTGTCAGATATTGTTGCTGCCATAACAAGGAAAGTAATTGTGGTGGTTTGAAAGGGAGGTATAGCTTTGTTGGAGTGGGCAAGGCCTTACTGGAGAAAGTGTATCACTGTGGAGGTGGACTCTGAGGTCTTATATACGCTCAAGCCACACCCAGTGTCTCAGACTACTTCCGTTGCCTACGGGTTGAGATGTAGGACTCTCAGCTCCTTCTCCAGCACCACGTCTGCCTGCATGCTGCTGCGTCCCACTAAGACGATAATGGGCTAAACCTCTGAGCTGTAAGTCCATCCACTAAATGCTTTCCTTCACAACAGTTGCCGTGGTCATGGTGTCTCTTCACGGCAATAGAAACCCTAACTAAGAAGGAACCAACTCGGAGATTCACCAGGCTCTTCTTTGCTGATATTCAGTTTCCTGACCCTTGCTGTCGAAACACACGTCCTACAGGCATGGTACTTGTGGCAGATGAAGAGGAGAGAGCCAGGGTGAAGACACAAGGGAAGGCCAGGGGAGCTGACTATTAAATGACTGAAAGGGGATTTGGGCACATGTGGTAAGCATCTTGGGGGCTGGGAGTTTACCTCTGTCAGCTGACTATGCCGAGAACGGAGGCGGTTCAGATCTGGGTGTGAAAGGGCCATTTAGTAGCAGGGCAGAAGTTCCTAGTCTAAATCCCCACTTGCTCTTGCTCTCCCTGTCTCTCGTTCTACACTGTTTGGATCGCCTGCTGGCTCCGGGTCTGCGTTCTTGTTAGCACAGGATGTACCACGGTACAGTCAGAGCCTCTCAAGTCTGCGCTGGCAAACAAGAGAGAACACGCTGCCACTTGAAGCTGCTGTTTAACAAAGGCATGTGCGTGAGGTCTCATGACTGCTGCTGGATAAACACGTGCAGGGGGTGTAATGACTATGGCTCGGTCTTCACCGGCACACTACAACACCGACTCAGGCTCCCGTGACCTTGAAAGATACAGGGCTTTTCCTCACCAGCAAGCAGGCAGTCAGTTTTGCAGTGGACATCAGCTGGGTCCCTCTCTTCAATCAATGCCACCGGGACACTGTCAGATCCCACAGGTGGAGGGCTCAGTCTTCCAGACACCGTTACTTCCTGGATGCCAAGGACTTTAGGGGCCGAACGCTAGCTCTTAGTGCACATGTCTCACAATTCAGTAGCTGTGTCAGTGTCTCATGGCCAAAAAATATTGCAAACACCCTCTAAGTAAGACACCTTAAGATCAGAAAATAAAGCTGGGCACGGTGATTCACAGCCGTAATCCAAGACAGGAGGATTGCTTTGAGTTCAAGGCTAGTCTGGGCTACAGAGTGACACTGTTCAAACTCCCCACATCCCCCAATCAAATCAGAGCAGAAGGCAGATTACATCGCTGTCTGATGAACTGACCTTGTCCTCAGGAGGCGCCCCTTCATTATTCCAAGGGTGCAGCATCTCTATGGTCCCGGGAATGGGGGTGAAGCCTTTGGCGCCCTCTCCACAGTGGCAGATCAGCAGCAGCAGCGGCACAACTGTACAAAACAAAACAGAGCCCAGAGTCTGGTTTCCAACCCACAGCACGTCACTCAGGACTCTCGCTGCACCTCTTGGAGCCCAGGCTTCACTTACTTGAAGCTTCGACCTGTCCAGCCTTGCTTTGGTTGAATTACAGCACAGCTGAAGGCAGACAGAGCGAGCCCTCTGACTCAAACGGCTTACTCACCACAGACAGCCTGTCTCCGGCTAGCGAGTCAGATATTGGGATTGAATGAGATCATATGGAAATCAGAAAAACCAAGGTAAAGGTGGAATGTTTTTAAACTCCTGTCCAAAATTTTTTTTGTAAGTGTACGATCTAAGAGATACGTATCAGAGTGATCAAAAGCAGCCAAGATGGCGGCACATGCCTGTGAGCCCCCAGCACTTAGATGCTGGGGCGGCTGAAGCAGGATTGCTGGGAAACTGAGACCAGTCTGGGCTACAGAATGAAACCTTGTCTCTAAAGTCCCATCCAAAACAAACACATACAACACAAACCCTGTGTGTGTGTGTGGGGCGGGTAGACAGACATAGAACATGATCTGGAACACCAAAGCTGTTGTACTTTACCTCAGAGGGGGACTTTGCACAAGACCAGACTCTTGTATGCTCCAGCTCACCTTTCAATCACCTAAGTTCCTTTTTCTTTTCCTTGGCTTTTACTTTATTTTTTTTTTTCAGGCAGGGTATTATATAGCCCAGGCTGGCCTCAAACTCAATATGTAACTGAGAAGGATCCTGAAGTCCTGACCCTTCTGTTTCCGCTTCCTGAATTCCGGGGTCACGAGTGTGCTGTCCCACCAACGTTGAGTTTTGTGTAATTTGGAGGCTGAGCCCCAGCATGCTAGGTAAGCACTGTAGCACTGAGCTACACACGCAGCTCCTATAGCAGTCAAGTGTCCTGGGCCATGCGACAGGTTAGGCTTCAGGGAAGCTGGATGGGGAGCCAGGGCACGGAATCCCTGGGTAAACGATGCATACCCAACTCCTTGGCAAGTCAAAACAAGTCACTCGCCAGCGAGGAAACCGAAGGGCTGGAGGTCCACTGTAAATTGTCGAGTTCTGTGCATTTAACTAGCTTTCTACAAGTGTCTGCAATGGCCCCTCCTCTTTCCATGGGGACAGCCCACACTGCCTGAGAAGTGGTGCTCTGCCCACATGCAAGTAGACTGGGACTCCAGGCGACCCCAGGTCTTTGCTGGACTGGAGGGCCGGCAGGACTGGCTGGGCGGAGCTTGTTACTGCGAGGACACACGGAGCGCTTGGCTGCAGAAAAGGCTTGGCTGCAGCTGGTGCTGGCAGAGGCAAGCCGAGCAGCCAGGAGTGGACTGAAGCCCCAAGAACTTGAATGTGCAAAGCATGCTGGGATGGGAACACACTACTTCTGTAAAAGTAACCTTATATCCACATGGCACACGCACGTGGCAAGTCTTTTCTGAAAACCTATTAACACTACTCCAGCCATGGGGAATATAGCTTAGCAACCACCCCCTACCCTCAGAGGCTTATTGAGATAGCCCTAGGAGTTACCCCAAAAGGCGGGAAAACACTCAATGGTCTCCAGCTATGTTAATATTCACTCTATGAAGTGTTCTCACGAGGTTAAAGCGGGAGTGTAGGGAAGTCTCTGGGGTTAAGAAGTCACCCTGGACTGAAGACACTCAAGACAGGCTCTGAAGACTTACGCAGCAAGAGCAGGAGGGCCAGAATCATGAGAGCGATGGCGGCGGGTCCCAGGCCAACGTAGTTGTCATACTGGGCTTCTGCACAGCCACCGCCCCCCAGACACTCACACACCGTGAGCTGAAGGACCTGCTTCTCGGGGCAGCTGAAGCCCTGGGTGTCCGAAATGAGGAAGGGGACCTCGCTTCTCCCCAGCTTCCGCTCTCTTTGCTGCAGCAGCACGCTGGTACCTGGGAGAGGGGAGGGGCGAGGCAATGAAAACCCGGACTGCTGGGGAAGAGAAACTGACCCAAGGCAGGGTCTTAGTGTGTGGAGCTCCAGGTGTAAGCTTTTTGCCCCCCCAGCTCCTCATGGAGTTCGGTGTGTGTGCCATCACATGCGTCCACAGATGGCAAACGAAGTTTAGCTAGCAGAGGGTTAGGGTTAGACAACTTTCCTGAAGACTTTCACTAATGTGTATGGTCTGCTAAACGCTAGGGACAGCCGCCACACTGTGCAGTCGGTGGGAATGCAGCCATGCATGAGGTGACATTCACATGAATAACATGTTCACTCAACGATGCTCATCTTACTAATTAGTAAAAAAGAAGCTACCAAAGCAGTTTTTAAGTGTTGCCGAAACAGCACTGTGTCACCCCCAGTTTTGATCATTTTCAGCAATGGTCCATTTATTTTTATCTGGTTTCTCTCTATATACCTAGTGATTAGTTTATCTTCTTAAGAAGTTCGATGATGGCATTTCACATTATCTAAACAAGCATTTGAATACAGTGAGAGACATTAAAAAGTAGTGGGAGCCGGGCGGTGGTGGCGCACGCCTTTAATCCCAGCACTCGGGAGGCAGAGGCAGGCGGATCTCTGTGAGTTTGAGGCCGGGCTGGACCGATAGCCCCCCGAAACAATACAGAGAAACCCTGTCTCGTAAAAACCAAAAAAAAAAAAAAAGTAGTGGGAAAATCCAACAAAACCTTTCTCTGAACTATTTTAAGGTAAGCTACAGTAAGTGATAAGACAGTTGCTGGTAATTGTGCTGTAAACCCTGCTGGCTAACTAGTCTTCTGGGTAGTGTTTTCTGCATCTGACACTGTCCCAAGGACACTCAAAAGACCACATCAACAAGAGGAATAATGCCTCTATCGTGCTTACTATTTCATTTTGATGTAGTTCAAAAATCTGCTTACTTTCTTGGCGTATTATTTTCCAGTTCTCTGCCGTTCCAGGCGTTTGGTCAACGATGGAGAAACTGAATGGCCCACTGTTCTGGGGTCCATCCAAATCCTTTGCAGTGACATTCACATATGGTGCATCCTCACAGATCCGTTGTATCGGCTCCACCAGTGTGGGACAGTTGTCATTGATGTCTTCAACGGAGATAAGGACGGTGCCAGTGATGGTTTTCTGAGGATGATCTTGAAAATAAGCAGGAGAGAGTTCAGACTTCTGAGTCTGTCACTGACTATCCACACAGTTTCAATACAGAAGCCAGTCAGGTAAGGAGGGGGTGCTAACCACTGAGGGCACCTCCCATCCCAGCTGGGTCTCAAGTTCGAATCAGTTCTAAGTCACTAAGTAAGCGAGAATCTGAGGGCTTAACCACTGAAGAGATGAGCCCTTTACGCACGGAACACACGTTCTGGTGCTGGAAGACGACATCTGAATGCATTCAGTCACACAAAACGTCTGTTTAACGGCTTACCACTGGATATAGCCACGACCTTTACAGTGTAGGTGCCATTCTGGACATATCCGGATTCAAAATCGGGAATCTTCACAAGCTTAATTTCTGACGTGACAGAATCCACGGAGATCCAGTTGTCTATGTCTTCCACTTTTGCATATCTGTTACAAAACAAACACAAAATTCATTTTCAGCTCTGGATACACTGACACTAGCATCTGTACCTCCTCCAGACTTGGCTATATCCCCTGTATATGTCCTTGTTTTACATACTGGATTTGAATGTCACAAGGCGGTGCAGTAGGCTTATACTGGGATACTGTCAATATTTAAGAATAACTTAAAAACAACAGTGGTTGCCTTAGATTGAGGCACCTAAACATTTGAGATATTGCACGTTGTTAGGAACAATGCCTTTCACCAGAATGGGTTAAAAGTGAAAACAATGTATATCTGTGTTTCTTCTCTGGAAGTGAGGGAAATCAGGGTGAAAAGCCAGCTGTAAGAAGGCACAGAGAATATGCTCACATTGTTTTCAGAATTATACACAGTGAGCACTATTGAGTTTAACACGTAAAAATACAAACACAAGGCAAACACATGAGTCTCTTGGTTCAACCAATCAAATCAGTAATTTATTTCCTAGTAAGTAGCTATTCAAGGAGACAAGAGGATGGCTGATTTGTAGTAGTATTTGTGTACACTATTTGGAAATAATCCATTTATATACTTGATCTGCATTTTTATACCTATTATTGTTACTAGTAAATGATTATAGACAGAGGTATGATCCAAAATTTGGGAGATGAAGGCAGAAGGATCAGGAGTTCAAGATTATTCTTGTCTACATAGTGAGTTCAAGGCCAGCCTGGACTAGTGACGTCCTGTCTTAACAAACAAACAACACCTAAAACCGTAAAAGTAAAACTATAAAAAATAAAATGTAGAAAACAAATGGCAGCATATTTGGATTTTTACAAGTACTTCTGAGTGTCCTACAGGAATTTGAAAGTGGGCATTGATTTGCCTGCCACATTTTTTCCATTTTCATAGCCATTACATAATAACGTTTTCTAATCTACTCATTATAGGGGATATGTTATGTGACATGATTTAAGGAGCTTTGCAACTCATTTATTGTGGAACTCAGCATTGGGGTAGCTCACGTTATATCAAATACCCATAAACTACAGAATGAATAATCAGTTCAGTATCTTATTACGGCAAAATGAATGACGTGATTCTTTTGCTGTCCTCATTAAGTTTTTAAAGGCTTTCAGTATTTTTATATTAATTATGTGTAAGTGTGCTCATCTGTGCAAAGCTACGTGCGTGTACAGGCACTCTCTGAGGCCAGAAGAGGGTGTCAGGACCTCCGGAACTGGAGTGACAGGTGACTCTGAGGCATTCGAGGCTCCAGGAACTGCAAACGGGGTCCTCCACAAATGCCGCAGGTGCTCTGCAGTGCTGAGAGTCTCTCCAGATCTCGCTGTCCTCATGAAGAAGACTTCAAAAGTGTCAGCTACTAAGGAGCTACATGATTTAACTTGGCTGTGCCTCCCAAAGCTTGCAAGAACTCCCAGGTGTGACCTGATGGCAAGGTCTCTCCTGTCCTCACATTCTATGACTGCATGCTAAAGAAGGAAGACACTTCTGGAAAAGAAGCAACTCTCATCATTCTTCGAAGAACACACACCATTCCCATAAGAGTCACAGGCCCTGATAAAAATAGCAGAATTAAAAAGAAAAACTGTCAGGAGGCCATTTTCAATAGGTTGGTATTAGAACATGCAAGCTTCTCAGGGAATGCAGAGAAAAATCACACAGAATCCCCTATTCTGGGGACCCGGTGAGGGGCTGCCCTGTCAGGTAGACCCCTGTGGAAGTGTGGGTGAAAGATGGTCACAGACATTTAGCGGAAGGTAAATTTATGAGTATTAATTTGGGGAGGTCATCTACTCGATGGCCGATAGATTCCATTAATGGAGACTCAGGAAATGTAAACAGACAGTTGGGAGCTTCCTGTCACGCTGGCCCTATTTTTAGATGTTTTACGATGCACCAGCACCCAGGGACACAGGACAGCACCAGAGCATCTTGGGAACTGAGCAGAAGGTCCCCAAAGCCATGTGTCTGAGCAGTGCACATGACTTCATCAACAGCAACTTTGTAGAGGGGTCCTGCCATGGAGTGACCCTAGAGCTAGGACAGAGATTCACTTTGAAAATCCTAGAGTCTGCCAGTGGAAGCTGACACTATAGAGTCTGGACACAATCACATCCTTTCAGCACAGTGACAACACCCACTCAGTTCCTAACAGATGTATTTTACTAATGACCACTGTCACCCACACACACCCACCCGCGTTCACTGGAAAGACGGCTCAGCGGTCAGGAGTGCTTAGCCATCTTGGAGAGGACCTGGCTTCCATTCCCAGCACCAGTGGAGTGGTTCACAACCACCTGCAACTTTGGGTCCAGGGACCCCGGCACCCTCTTCTGATCTCTGTGGGCTTACACGCCCATGTGGTGCACAGATATACATTTGTGCACACACAGAAAAGTTCACCCCCTCCCTGAACTAAGTAGAGTGGCTTAAATAAAGATTAAATCTCAAGATTTATTTGTACATAAAACAAGTTCTTCCATATTAAAATGTGTGAATAGAAGCCTGCCCCCCCCAACTGAGGACCTAATCCCGGGCCTTGAATTTGCTAGGCAAGCACTCAACCACAGAGCTAAACCCCAACCCCAGGAACGTGTGAAACTATTTTTAAAAATGAGTGTGCAAAGAGGCATTTATGGCAAGATTCTTCATTTCCCTATTTGATACAGGGTCTCACTGTATAGCTCAGGTTGGCTAGGATCTCGGAATCCCCCTGCCTCAGCACTGGGTTATAATCGTGTGCTAGCATCCTTAGCATGTAGTTTATCTATCTGCTATCTCCTCACCCCCTAGTGTGCAAGAAATAAGAGAATTTTTCAGTTATTTTCTGAGGTGCTTTCAGATCTCTCTAGTAGAGCTGTCTTGGAGGTGACCAGTCTGGCCTCTACCTTCACACACAGGCAGAGCCTCCTCCCTCCCTCCTTCAGCTACAGGCTCAGTTTGGGGAGTACTGATGTCACAGGCCTTCGAAAACTGGAATTCTGGGGTGTAAGAAATGGGCTGCTTAGATTTTGTAATGAGAAATTGACATTAAAAAAGAATGTGGCGCACGCCTTTAATCCCAGCACTCAGGAGGCAGAGGCAGAAGGATCTCTGTGAGTTTGAGACCAGCCTGGTCTACAAGAGCTAGTTCCAGGAAAGGCTCCAAAGCCACAGAGAAACCCTGCCTCGAAGAACGAAAAAAAAGAAACAAAGAAAAACAAAACAACAAAAGCCAGACATGCATGGTAATTAAAACCTGGAAATACACGTGTAACCAAATCTTACTTTACTTTAGTTGCTGCTTGTCCAGTGTCTTCATCAAAAACTTGGAATTTTCCAATCGACCGGGTGAGGCTGGACCTATCCATTGCCTCACTAGCTCGGACGGAGACTACGCTGTTCTTGAAATGAATGCCCTCAACCATGTTCTTGACCTTGACAGTGATGGGGATGGGCGTAGGCTTGAACTTGTTCTGAACAGACTTGTGGAAAGGTGCTTTATTGGTGACAAAGACGCTGAAGTTGAGATTCCTCATCGTTTCATAGTCTACTTCCTAGAGGGACAGAGCCAGAGTTACCGTGGAGGAACCAGGGCACGTGATCTGCTCTGTGACTGTTTCTTTCCATATGATGTGGGCCAGGAAGGATGTGATGTCCCCGATCCTGAGCAAGGCTGGTACCAGCTGACATCCTCTTAAAGGCAGTAGGGGACCCAAAACAGCTACGGTCCTGCCCTGGTGGTGAACACTCACAACTCACCTTGACGAGGGTCACAATCCCTTCATTAGTCTGCGTGTCAGTCTCGATGTGGAAATAACCCCCTTCATTTCCTGATGCAAACGTAAAGTTTGCCAACCAGTTATCCGAACCCACTTCATCTGCGTCGGTCACTTTGATACGCATGACTTCCACATTGACTCGGTTTTCTTCCACCACCCCTTCATACTGCAAAACAGAAAGAAACACACAGTTTTTTTTTTATTTCATTAATGCACTAAAACATTTTTAGTTGGGACTCAAGAAACAGTAAATCTACGATAAAAATAAGTTACCACTTTATTTTCCACTACAGGTATGTTGTCGTTGACATCCAAGATCTGGATCTGAACTTGTGCTTGCTGGACCGGCTTGTCTGTTATCTGCCCATTACCATCTCTTGCTTCCACCGTTAAAGAATAGCTGCTGTATTCCTGAAGAATGATAAAATAAGAAGACCCATCTGAGGGAGAGACAAATACCCCTGGAGGCTGCCTCTCTGGTTTTGGTTCGCTCTACCCTTAGGAAACGGACCACAGTCTATTTTATTCACAAGTAATCTCCGTAGTCTTCAACTATTGGTGTGAGCATGCTGTTTAGATGGGCAGAAAAACCTAGGGGTATTTTTTGATAATCCTCAACTATGTCACTGAGCTTCTGCAAACAAAGGTGGACTGTTCAAGATGTAGTTTGTTTTGCCCTAGAGGTGTCGTGGGACTAAAGAGGTCACTTTTGTTTTGTTCCTGTACTTTTTCATTCACGTCTAATTAACTTACCTCTCTGTCCAAAGTAAAACTGGCTGTATAAATCTCGCCCGTGTCTTTATTTAGGTAGAACATGGGAGAATTTGCAGGCTCCTGAGAGACAATTCTGTAGGAGATTTTAGAATTCAGGGTGTTGGGCTCATCTGCATCTGTGGCGATGACTTTCATCACGAGTGTATCTGGCATTCGGAAGAAAGGTGTTGAGATAAAGGTACTTACAGATCCCTTCAGCCTTTCCCTACAAGGACCTCGGGTTCTGATCAGAATTACACTGTGCCACTATCAGAAATTTAACTGGCTGGCAACAGAGAGATGGCTCGGGGCTGAAGGCATCGGTTGCCAAGCCTGACGAACTGAGCTGGATCCTTGGGAGGAGAGAACTCACCCTCACAGACTGGTCTCCCACCCCACTCACGTGCCATGGCACTTATGCACATGCATGAAGGCCAAACACAGAACACTAGGAAAGTTCTGCAAAACTGCTGCATGAAGGCCTCACATTTAACCTAATAGCTAAGATGGAGAGCCACTCATGACCCTGGATGCTTGCCTACTCAGATGCAAACAAATTAGGATCAGTACAGCTATTCTTTTTAGTATGATCAAGGAGAAATGGGTCTTTGAGAGAGCATCGCGTTGAACAATGTCATCTCCAGGACAAACTGAGAGAATAATACAAATCAGAGGCCCAAAGCCAGAAGGTTGCTTGATTTCGCTCATGAAGTTTTACTGGAACACAACCCTGCCCACTTTACACATTGTCTACTGCTGACTTCCCCTTCCAGGGCAGGCTCGAACAGTTGCTATGGAGACCTTCCTGTTGTGTCAATCTAATCAATCATCTTTTCTGAAAGACCATAATTCTTAAGGTTCTTTAAATTTCCAATAATGAAAAAAGTCCAAATCTGGAGTGACCTGTGATTAATAATCAACTTTTATTAAAAGATAGAATTTTGTGTTTTTATATATGGGAGATAAATGATCTTGGTTGTACACGCCCCTAAAAAAAGGAAATATATTTGGGTTTGGGTCTGGATAGATTGCTCAGTGGTTAAGAGCACTGGCTGTCCTTGAAGAGAACTCGGGTTCAGTTGCTAACATCCTCATCAGGTGGTTTACAACTGCCTGTAACTCAAGCTCCAGAGGATCTGGCGCCCTCCTCAGGCCTGTACAGGCACCTGCACACAGGTGGTGCACATACACACACACACACACACACACACACACACACACACACACACACACACACACAGAATTGAAAGAAAAGCAGCAATGTGCCCTTACGTGCAGCGCTCAGTTCTTCAACAGAGCCAACGAAGACTTCCTGTTTGAACACTGGCTCGTTGTCATTGATGTCAAGAACTTTAATGCGTAGCTCTAAAGGTTTCTCCAGCTGGTTTCCTCTGGAGTCCATCGCATAACCTGTCAGCTGAATCGTGCCAGGAACAGCAACAGATTTTAAGCTACACTCAATCAATTGCTATAGTATAAACATAAAAACAAATCACAATGATTATCAAAGAAAAACTACAAATAAAGGTTGTTCCTTCTTACCAGAAAAAATGGTGTTTCTTCCCGGTCAAGGATGCTGGTAATGTTCAGGTTTCCTGTGTTCTTATCAAAGACAAATATACCAAAAGGTGGCTCTGTAATCCCCTTCCCGGTGTATTTGTAGGTGATTTTTATTCCTTTTTCTTCTGCAAGGTCAGAATGTATCTAACATAAATAGAACAGAGGGATGTCTCAAGTTAAAACCTTTACAATTTATGTAACATTTTAATGACAATGTCCTTTGAAGGTGTCACGGTATAGATAGGAGGCAGGTGGCCTGGGACATGTGTTGGGGTCAAGGAACCATGTTCTAACCCTGTCTTAGCGTACTCAAATGTGTGACACTGGTTAGTTGTTCACCTGCCTGGGTTTCAGTTCTATCTATGAAATGGAGACTGGAGAGTGCTCATGTTTTATGAATACTGTGGAATTAAGATATAGTTGGGGCACATTAGGAGGGAAGCAGATTTTTTTTCCCTTTGGTGTACTAGGGTAGAAACCAGCAACTTATGCATACTAGTGGAGGGCTCTTACTGAGCTAAACTCCCTGGAAGTGGGTTTTATGAGACAGGATTTCTTATAGCCCAGGCCAGCCTCCAAGTGACCTTGATCTCCTGACCTTCCTGCTTTTATCTCTCAAGAGCTGGGATTATAGGCATGTGCCATGATACCTGACTCAGGGGGTGTATATTTTAAATTTGGTACATATAGTTAAAAACTCCAGAATCAAAAATGACTTTCGTCAACCCATCCGATTGCCTGGAAGGTGTGAAGAAGGCATCTTCCCAGACAGGGGCGAATATAGCTAAACACTTTCTCTGGTTGGAATAAACACTTTGGCAAATCAGCACTGTTTCTAACCTGCGGGGTCCCCTCCAGCCCTCCTCTTCATACTCTGTAAGCCATCTTATTCCTACTGTGTAGGGAGTATTCTTCGTCTCTGCCCTTCACACACACACACACACACACACACACACACACACACACACACACACACGCACGCACGGACACCACATTCCTCTGTAGCTGATACCTTGGCAATTGGGTTCTTTCTGGAAAGATCCTCTCCCTCCCGGAGAGCCACAGGAGCAGTGATCCAGGCCCGCTTTTGCCGAACCAAGTGACTGTGCTTAGGGAGTAGTTTGTCTCCTCTTCTTGTGCTGAAAACCTGTTAACAAGGTTACCTTTAGTTAATTACATCCCTAAAGCTTCAGGGAGACATTCTGTAATTCACTAAACTAAAAATAGTGCATATTTTAGTTACAATAAACCTAATCGATTAAAAAACAAAATAGTGCAGAACTTAAGATATGTATTCTAATTTTTAATAAGCTTCATTTTCATCAAGGAAATGTATATATTCTAGCAAACTCAACAGGCCCATGAGAAAGGGTCTCCAAGCTGGTAAAGTGGCAGGGTTTGTTTTTCATAGTAAGAAAAGTTTTCCAAAGTGAGGTCCAAAAAGGACCAATAAACTAGTCCCTTACAGATTAGAAACAATGCTATGTTGAGGGTTTCCTTTTCTTTCCGGCTGACAACTGAGGTTCACTTTCTGTGATGACTTTGTGTTTTAGGACTTTCTCTTAGAAACGGTTGATATAAATATGTCCCCACCAGACAAGGCTGTACATTCTGTAATCCTAGCACCTGAGAAGTTCAGGCAGGATTCTAAGTTTGAGGCTAGCCTAGGCTATGGGTTTAGCTCCTGCTTAGGAAGCCCACCCCTACCAACTGGTAAATAATTAAGTGTCTGCCTATTCCTTGTTTTTAAAACTTGACTCTGGAAATTCATTTCACATATTTTCCATTAGGTTTCACAGGGAGGTTTTACATGTTTCTAAACATTTATTTGGTTGTTAATTTTGTGTGTGAATGTGTGTGGGTGCATGTGTGCCATGTGGGGGTCAGAGGACAACCTGCAGGGGTCAGCTCTCTCCCTCCTCCATGTTCTTGGGATTGGACTCAGATCTTCATGCTTGACAACAGGTGAGTTTACCTGCTGAGCCATCTTGTTGGCCTCTAAATGTTTTTATCCAAGGGAAATTTCAGTGTAGCTGACTTCGTACCTTCAGATCAGAATATTTCTGCACCAGGTTCATCTCATCATTCTGCCCATTTTATTCTTCTAAACAACCATGCATTTTATTTTAAAAAGTCACTCATTTTTGTTTCTATTTGAAATTTTTCTTAATAAAATGTGAATTATAACTTGAAACATTTTTCAATAAAAATTTTTCATGCAATATATTTTAATCATGTTTTCTCCTCTTCTCTTCCCAGATCATCCTCCCTACCCAACTTTATGCTCATGCTCTCTCCCTCTGAAACAGAAGAGGACATTAAAACTTATATATTATTATTATTATAAAGCTGTATAAATCCTATTCTTTACTCATTCCTTGTTAATGTCTCCAGGAAAACCTCCCATGATCTTCCTGGCCACACAGTTCACAGCCCTGTAGAGAGCTTTCATCTTTACCAGCTGATGGGGTCACCCACCTGCCTTTGCCTCATGAGTGCTAGGACCCAGGAGATATGCTCCCCCATGCTATTTTTAATAAAATGCCAACTGAGTGTTCTTTGATGTGGGTCCCTGCGTGTTTGTTTGAGTGAGAAGGTCAAGGTCTAAGCAGTGTTGATTTCCAATCTAGTAAAACATAGCCAGCTTGTTCACCAGAAAACCAAGGCACTGGGTCCCCAAAATGGAATTAATCCCCTTTAGTTCCTCACCTCTAAGTGAAGTCCATTTCCAAAGTCCAAGCAGACCTGTGAAATAAAATTATAGACATTAAAAATAAGAGTAACTATTATTATCTTTGGGAGAGGAAACAAATTATAATGCTCTCCTTTGCCTTAGGAAAAAAAAAGATTTAGATGGTGAAATCTACCTTCTCCTTGGTCCACAAAGTCTCCTTCAGAGAACACACACATACTATATAGTGTGTACATGTACACCATATACACACATATACTATATACACATACATACAAGGGAAGGCAGGATGTGCCACAGGGTGCATGTTGAGATCAGAGGACAACTTAAGAGGCTCTGTCTTTCCAACACATAGGTTTTGGGGATTAATCTTGGGTCCTCAGGCTTGGCAGCAAGTGTCTTTACCTACCATCTTGCTGGCCCTGAGAACAACTAGCATTCTAATGAATAAAACAGGTCTGGAATGTGCCTCAGGAGTATAGGCAAGAGCTGTGCAAGCCTGCTTGCCCAGGTCTGCAGTGGTGCGCATCTGTAAAGTCAGCACTTCTACAGAGGCCGGAGGCTCACCCAGAGGCTGGGGCCAGCCTGTCAAGGTAGAAACTGTAAGAGAAACCACCTCAACCAGGTGAGGGCTAACTCTCTGAAGTCGTCTCTGACACTCACCTGTAAAATAAATAAATAATAAAAATAAAAACCAAACTTGTTTGCCTCCTGAAGCCTAGACCTTCCTGACTGACTTCTCACCCTGTGGCTTTTATCTCATACGTTCTGGGCCTGGTTACCCGTCTTCAGGGTCGTGGGTAAGCGATGAGTCTGCTGGGGAACCCCCATCACCTCCTGGCTGCACATGCAGGATGCGCCGTGCCCCCCCCCCCCGCCCCTGCCATCTGACCCCTGGTTCATCTTCAGCTTCCCTCACTCATTCTTTGGTGGGCATAGTTACAGTCTAGATGTCGCCACAACACAGAACTGCTCCAAGTACAGCCGGGCTTAGTGTAAACCTGCTTCCTAACTCTCTTCCCACTTCCGAAATTTGGTACAATTTCTTTGCAGTCTGTCTTGTCTTCTATTGGCCTAACTTTTCTCCTGAGCTTTATCCAGATGAGCACCGTCTCCCACATTTATATAAAAATGAAAGCGCTTGGAGCCAGAGATTCAGTTGCTCAGCGGCCACAATGGCCACAGCAGCGACTGCTCGGACGCTGCAGGATGAGAAAACATTTTTATTCCCGGAGACCAGCTGGCAACTGTCTACTGTCCTCACAATGTCACAAGGGAGACTTGTTTCCTTAACCCTCTGCAATTGGTGCCTCAATTCTCTCCAACTCTGGTCCCCCATTATCATTGCTCCAGCTTCTCTCTCTGCACTGGCCATCCTGCTGGGCGAGCTTATGGTGGCCCAGAACTTTAATGGCCAATCCTTGGTTTCTCTGTGGAAGTGGGAAGTCTTTCCGTGGCCTCATTTTCATTTGCTCAGAGTGGCCCAGGCTGACACCTGCTGTTAGGAAACCTGTCTCCTAGTGTTGTTCCCATCTACAAAAGTGTGTTCCAGTCAGACAACAAATTGCAGCCACGGTGGCTTTGTCTCTCCTTACTGTATCCTCACCTCAAACTTCAAAACCCAGGAGTCCCAGTGACTTCTGGACAGACTCACTGTTACACAGTAAGGTCGTGTGTTATCTGAGATCACATCTTCAGCTGTCCCGTCCTCTCTCCCCAGGCGAGAGATGTCCAACTGTGTACTTTGCTTTCAACTCTAGCTTTCTCTCATTCATCCTCTCACGAATCTTCGTCACTCGGCTAAACGTTCGCCATTTTCTAAGGCCAATTAAACATGTTCGTTCTGTTTGCACTGGCTAACCAAACCTATTTGGGTCTTTCTTGCCCAGAAGGCCCACCTTTGCTTCCGCTAACACTGAATTCTCCCGCCTTGGGTCCTTCTAACTCTAAACTGGAAACAGCTTGCATCGATTGCCTTTACTTCCCCATTCTCCGTTTGTGTGTGAATTAACTGTAAGGTGCCTTCAGCCTGAACCTCGGCAGCCATGTTTGCCTTCCCCACGAGTCACAGGGGACACAGATCCATGGAATCCATACAAAGTGGGAACCAAGGCTTTCTCTGAAAATCCATGCTGTCCCACAGCCTTCATGTTCCCTTGAAGGCTTCCTGTGGCGTCTGCTCTGTGTGGACACTTGACCCTGCTTTGTCCCTCTTGCCTCATCTAAAAGAAATTCACGATCTGTTGACACGTGGCTCTAAAGTGAGCCTCTGGGCAGACAGGAGACTATGGTGATTTGTATGAGAGGTCTGCCATAAGTGTCCTGCATTAGAACACAGGTCCCTGGTTGGTGGCTGTTTGCACAGGTCTAGGGGGTGAGGCCGTGGTGGAGGAAGTATGTTGCTGGGGGACAGACCGAGCTTTCCAGACACATGGCATTTTGAGTTAGCTCTCTGAGATTTGAGATATAAGTGATGAGCTTTTGCCCTAGTCGCCTGCTACCTACCTCCACTCTGCTGTCGTAGATCCTAGTCTATGAGTCCCAAGTGAATTTTCTTCTAGAAGTTGCCTTGGTCACCATGCCTTTGTATATATCAAAGTAACTAATACAACAGCCTTAGCCAATTATCTACTTTCTATCTTATAACTGGATACATTTTCTAAATTACTTCTTCTAGTGAGCAGTGGCTAGAGATGTCTAGCCGAGATGTGCTCCCCAAATTTTTACATTTTCAACGACAAGGTGGCAATGCTGAGATACTACTACTCTGCATGTTTCTCTGGTAGGAAATTTGTACAGGAAAGTCTAGTGCCTGGATCCAGGATCACTCACCGTCACATCATCAGGGAACATTCTCACACTTACACTTCCTCGACCAGCCTCCCACTCGCCAATCTTTCTCTTGGGTGGTTCCAGTTTCATTTCCAAAAAAACATTTCTATTTGTTTATTTATTTTGTGTGCGAGTCTCTCTCTCTCTCCCTCTCTCTCCCTCTCCCTCTCTCTCTCTCTCTCTCTCCCTCTCCCTCTCTCTGGTACCTGGAGGCCAGAAGAAAGTGTCAGAATCCCTTGGAGTTGGAGTTTTAGGTAGTGCTGGAAACTGAGCTCAGCTTCTCTGCAAGAGCACCAAGTACTCTTAGCCTCTTGAATCATGCCTTCAGTTTCCCATCTGCTTTCTTGTCTAAAATCTTATTGGCCCTAGCTAAAAGGTATAATTATGTGCTACTATAGTGTTATTCTAACCAAGTAGCACACGTTTTACTTGATAAAAGGAAGTGATTTATCACTCTCTAGTAAAAAAGTGAACTCATCATGTGGGCGTCCATGGTGACTTACTGAAACCTGCTTTCTAGGTGTTTGCTTAGAAATGCAGATTCGAAGGTGACATAAGACATTGTCAAGTATGGAAAAGGCATCTCATGCGAGGGCAGCCATGACTCATTTTTTTTTTTCTTGTAAGGAATTTGATGACACATAAATGTCACATATGCAATGCTTGGATGAGAAAAGTAAGTGTCTATGTACTTAGCCAAAATAATGTTTTTGGATGAACCAGAGAAATCCTTCAAAAGCTTCCTCACTCCATAAAAGTTTAAATGTTTCTACTGTTGGATCTTGTGTCTCACGTAAAACTTGACCTTTCTGGTAACAGGCAATAACCGAAACCAACCAGCCAAAACAAAAGCTTTAGTGGAAAGGAAGGCCAAATAGCACTGAAAAATGATAACAGTGTGCACTTTGTTCTCAAGGTCCGAGACTTCAGAAAGGGGCTCCTGCTCTGGGGCTATTTTGATAAATGCCATCTGGACAATCTGGAGGACTGGGTGTCACTAGTTAACAGCTCTTCCTGGCTGACAAGATCTCTGAAATCTTGCTCCACAGCAGGTGATTCCATGGTGGGCTGCCCCTTGAGTCCCAGCATCTCAAACTAGTATCTTCTCCTGAATGTAGAGACACCGGAAGAATTTCAAATTCTGTCTCAACTTTGAGGCATGGTGGTAGTGTGATGTTTCCATGCTAGCTGGGATGTCTGAGAGGGTGAACCGTGCTCGTGGGAGAGTTTTGGGTTCTGCAGAGGGTTGACCTAGCATGGGTGACTGTTCTGTAAGTTCAGAACTTCTCTGTATTGGTTAATGTTGTTGACTTGACAGGATCTAAACCTCTGGGAATGTCAGTGAGTTCCTAGACTGCCGAATTAGGGAGGGATAATCTACCCTCGTTTGAATGGCAGTGTTTCATATGCTGGGGTCCCAGACAGAGTAACAGGCGAATGGAAGTGAGCACCAGCATTCACCTCTTTGCCTGAAAATTTAATGTGACCTCAAGCTCTGCGGTCTCCTGCTCCAGCCACCAGTGAACTCACTCTCCATTCCTGACAGCAGAACTTCCCCACTGTGACTGGTTGTACTCTCAAACTGTGAGTCAGAGTAAACCCTTCCATCCTTCTAGGTTACAGTGTGTGTGCGTGTGTGTGTGTGTGTGTGTGTGTGTGTGTGCATGTGTGTATGTGTGTGTGCGCTTGTTACAGCAATGAGAAAAGTAACTCCTATTAACTTTCGAGACCATTCTAGAACACCCTCCCTCACCTGTCTAAGCCTGAAGAACATTCCAAAACTCTTTGCGTCTCCTTTGGGCTATATAGAAGGCATCAGACTGAGGATGCTTGGCTCTGCTCAAATCCATTCATAAAATGAGTTCAGCTTTGGATGAAACAAGTAAAGATGCGATAAAATGAAGGCACTGGATACTGCTTGCTTGATTCCCCTGCTCACGGGTCCTGATTTCACGTCTGTCTTAACAGAGCTGGAGATCTGGTCCCTGGATAGCTTTGGAGAAGTTTTGGCACAGGTTCTGTGGCCATAGTACCTTTCATAGCTGACAGGGGCTGGGACTTGGTGCTGTCAAGAGTGCCATGATTTGGAAGCCCTTCTCTCATAAGTTTGATGTGGACCAGGTTTATACTGGAATTTAACACGCCATCCTTTCTCCTTGTTATTTTCTATGGTGTGTGGTTACTCTTTGTAGCTCTCACTTTATAGGTAAATGTTACAACT